ACGAATATCTGGGAATCTAAAAGAGATAGAAATTTTTTTGTCGAGACCTTATTTGTAGAGCCAACTGAGGGTTATAAAAAAGGTCTCGAGCAAAATTTTGCTATCTCTCTTAGATTCCGAGATATTTGTAAAAAAAGTGGCCAAAAGTCAAAATCGACTTAACCCGGTTTACGGCTTCGCTACTGAATTCAATTGTAATTTAAAAGATTCTTCTCATTGGCGTCTTGATCAAGTTTGATCATGAGATTGATTGCATCATCTGTTGTTGAGAATATTTATTTTTAAACCAATATTTAGGGAAAAGTAAAAAAATTTGAATTGAACCTTGAGACAATGTTTTTATTGAATTAAATTTAAAATACATTATCATAAAAATTCCACTCGGAAGTAAATTGCTAATTTATTGACGAAAACATATTGACGAAAGTAATTTTTCACAGTTTTATTTCTAACAATTCCATTGGTAGTAAACTTCCGAATTTTTATCATTTTTAATAATTTTAATAATTGATAACAATGAAGTCAATGAAATAAATGTCTCGGGATTGATTTCGCCGCATAATTGATGACAATGACAAATACATAAATAGATAATTCAGTTTTTATCGCAGATGAAGAATTGAGACAGCAAAGAAATGAAAAACGAATTAGTTTTCCGTTCGGTACTTTATCGATTAAGCAATCTTAATACATCGCTGAGCCGCAACGTACCATAAAGCAGAGCGGAACCGGAAACTATCTATTCTTACCGAGGAATATGGTCTCTGCAGTGGATTGTGCGGTTGTGGTAGTTGGAATTTTCGCTTTGATTAATCACGCAGTTTTTTCACCGCGGCGAACCGACTCACTTGTCGATGCCTCCAAAACCTCGGGCACTTCCGTCTTTCTGTCATTATTTTCTTCTTCATTTTTTCCCCTCTTTCATCTTCTTTCTGTCTTCATCGTTTATGTGATTTCTAACTTTTCGATTTATGAGGGGGAATTATTCATTGATCAATCCAATTTGATCCAAATGAAGAGTTATTACGGGGTGATAAAGTCAGAACGGCTTCGCCATCGAAACAGTTATCGTTAAAAAACTACTTGACGTACTGTGAACAATTTTTGGCTAAATTTTCACGGAATTTCGTCTTTGAAAATCGACAATTTCGTGGAAAGCCAAGAGAAAGTTTCAATTTCAGCTCAATCATTCCACGAAAATTAGTAGAAATCAGGAAAATTCTAGAAAATATCTGTATCAATTTTTAATTCGTTGAAAATCCAGCGTGAATTTAATGCTACCACTTAAAAATGACTATGAAACAGTCCATGAAATTTCAATTTTTTTCTACTTTTCGCTCCACAAAATTTCGCTCTATAAAAGCCGCGAACAATGCAAAAAAAAACAATTGTCTTCATGAGATATTTCAGAACAAGATGAACTCAAAAATTTCAACAAAGTGTGGAATAAATATTCCATTCATTTTGATTTACAAAAAAGTCAATCGCCGTCGCCAGAAATCCCCCACAGTGATTTAAAAATTACGATAATAATCTGACTCCAAAGGTCGTGCGAAATAGTCGCGCTGTCCTTTCTCAGTTGCCCGAAACCTCCGTCAATTACCGCTGCTCACCTGATCAGGAAAGAAGATACCAGGCGTTAAAAGGTTCCACTCTATTGTTCCGCAGTTCGTCGATTGCCAGCAATACAAGCCGGAAGTAGAAGGTTTTTCAAACGAGAGTGCTGGGGGTATAGCGCTGCCTCGTGCCACATCACGGGGGATGGTTTCAGGGTGGTGCAGTCACGCGACCGGAAGAAGCATCCTAATTGATATCGATTCTGGGCGACGGTGCGTGCCTTTCTTAGCGCCTCTTTAACGAATTCATTCGGTTTTTGGGGAAATCATCCAACACTTTAAAATCATTTCAGTAGCGAAGTGGTAAAACGGTTCAAGTCGACTCATCTCCCAGTTGAGTTTTTGAAGAATACTTCCGAATCTAAGAGAGATAGCGAAATTCTCGTAATTACATTTGTTGTAGCTCTTAATCGGCTGTACAAAAAAGGTCGTAACAAAAATTTAGCTATCTTCCTTAGATTGCGAGATATTTATTGAAAACTGGTCAATAGCTAAAATTGACTTGTACCGTTTTACCACTTCGCTGCTGATTTGAAAAGGATTCGCTGCGGAGACGAAACCACAAAATGAGAACATTTGGAAATTTTCAACTAGCGATTTTGTTGGCCCAAACAAAACTTGTTTGATAACATGTTTGTTGTTCTCTCAGTGTACGTGTGTCGAAAAAAAATTTCCCGAAAAATATTCTTCACAACAATAACGAAAAATACTATAATAAGAAATCTCTCCGAAATTCTGTCGAATTTCTATTAGAAAATTGTATTTTTTTGCGACAATTCTATTAAAAATCAAGTATATTTTATGTGCGTTCGTCAATCGATATTTGTTAATAGAAAAAAGTATATAGCGCCATTAAAGCCGATGTTAGCGTCCAGTGAAGGGTTTTTCGCCCAGCGGAAGGACTTCTCTACAAAACTTTCCAGCTCCAAATCGTCCAAGCATACACCTAGCACAGCCCCATTCCTTTATCCCTGGTAACAACATAGCATGAGATTTCCACCCCATAGCGGAAACCAGCCAATAAAACATCCCCGGACGTAACTGCATTGTCCAACTTTTTTTTAAGAATTTTTTTACCCTCGCCTCCTTTCAATCCACCACTCTTCCAACTCTTGTGTCCAACTCTCGCTGATCCTGGATACAGTGAGGACAACGGTACACCCCCTCGATTACATTCGGAAATATTAGGGGACGTCCCGTTGCTCGACAAACTATCAATTTGTTTTCTTGTTATATTGATTTGGGGAAAACTCCTGTTCGAGACACTGACTTTTTTACTATCCTTTGAGTTGTTGTTTCGGAGTTGAGCTTCCTCTTGAGATAACAAGGATAGAATTCAATGGAAACTAAGAATCAATAATTATAAGATCTGGAGAGAGTAGGTTCAGGAAAATTTATGCGAAGCTTTTGTGAAGTAGAAAACGATTTTCCCATACACTTTTAGAACGAAATTTAAAGCTCACGGGCAGTTTACTGGTTACTTTCATAAGAACGTCATTTAATTCGATTTTGGGAGAGAGAAATATTGTGAAGCTAGCTGCGTGGCCCGGCCTCACCCGGGGGGAATTAGAGGAAATTGATTACCAAGATTTTTGAGAAATCCTGCAATTGAAAAAAAACACTTCAGTTTTTTCGACTTTTCTCAATTTTTTTAGAAAACCCTCAAATTTTCTTGCCTTCTCGGGTGTTCTAGAAAAGTCGAAAACATTGAGGTTTTTTTTTTACTGCAGGAATTCTCAAAAATCCTGGTATTCAATTTTCTCTTATTTTGCCCGCGCGAAGCCCGGTGACACAGCTAGTCCATCAGAATTTGAAAATAAATTGCTCAATTGAAACAAAAAAAATTTTTTTTAGAAAATCGGAGAATTTCTTCGAATGTTCTAAAAAATCTGAGAATTTTCTCTAATTTTCTGTAGAACTGAATTTTTTTTTATATTAGAATTTCTTCGAAAACCGAAGAATTTTTTCGAATTGTTTAGAAACTCCGAAAATTTCCCGGAATGTTCTGTAAAACCAAAGAATTTTCTCGAACTTTCTATAAAATTCAGAATATCGTCAAACTTTCTAGAAATCTCAATACGGAAGAATTGAACCAAATAATTGAATAATTAAACCAAAATTTCCCATCCCATTCCCATTAATTTTTTCATCAAACTCCGAATTTTCCATGTTAAAATTCCTTGAAATTCCAGTGAAACCGTCAGTTCCAAAAAATTGCCAAGAATTTTCCCCCAAAAATTTTCAACACTAAATTTTCCCCTGAAACTCTAAACAAATTCCAAATTCTCCTGCAGCATCCTCTGAACGCGTTTTTATTTTCATTTTTCCTCAAAAAAATGTTTAAGGTCCGAATCAAGATAAAGCACTCCATATAAATCATCGTCCGCTGAATGTTATCAGTCGGCTTCCGGTCCGTCGCACAGACATTTCGCACGACCATCGAATATTCCATATTACCCTAGCTCTCCTTTTTTTCTCCCAATACTATTACGAAGCGAAACATATGCCGGCCGCTGTCCACTCCATTTACTCCGCTGCGTCATCTCCGCCCTTCCTCTCAAAAGAACCCGCTAGGGTTAGACGGGGGTCAAAAAACAGTCCCGAAAAAAAAACCCACTTTACTTTTATCGTTATTAGAATTCCCCTCCCAATGCTGATCAACTCGAAATTAAACAATGGAAAAGCATCGGAGGACGCCAGACAACCGGGAAATCTAAACCGGTAACAAGATGGCGGCCTTCGGAAACGGAAACCGGAAACTTGTCACTCGAGCAGCGCTCGACTTCCGTCGTTGTCCAGAGGGAGAATTCAAACGAATCCCCAGGCTCCATTAAACATTTTTCATCTTCAAAAACAAAGCATTTCTCTCCCCGAAATAATAATTCGGAAAGGGGTAGCTCACATTATACGGCATCTTCCGGGCCTTTTAGCTGTAAAATTCTGTTGAAAGTTTCTCGGTCCAAATCGATTTTGGCTATTGCCCAGTTTTCAAGGAATATCTCGAAATCTAAGGGATATTGTAAAATTGTTCTCATAATCTTTTTAGGAGCCCTTAATTCGCTCTACAAAAAAGGTTATTATGAAAATTTCGCCATCTCCCTTAAATTCGGAAATATTTCTAGAAAACTCAACAAAAGACTAGAAAACTGACATCTCAGCCATTAATGGTCATTAAAACGATTTTATTAATCACTCGAATTTATAAAAAATAGAAAATCCCGAAAGATTTCCATTTATGCCAACTAAAGACTAGATTGACTTGAACCGTCTGACCACTTCGCTACTGATTTCATGATCACATACCAATAAACGGGGATTAAAACTTCTCAAGTCACAACACGTCAAAATTTCAATAAAACAACCAATATTCCTTCATACGTACGCTTTCCTGCGGTTATATATTATATTTCACTATTATCATACATAATGTACATATATACAACCTGCTACAATAAATACTTATCGTGATATAAGGTAACGAGAATTGCGAACATCACCATAAAACTCTGGATCGAAAAGTCCAACTTTTCAATCATCCTAAACCTAATATTCCCATCTAACGACGTAACCAAAAATTGTCGCAATCTCCCCTCTGATATAATTCACTTGGTTTTCTGTCCCACTCTCACCACTCAACATCTCACAATTTCGTTCGTAATTTCCTACACGTGCTTTCCAGTAGATTAAAAAAAGCGGCTCAACCTCAGCATTATCAGCCAGATATCAAAATCCTATCATTTTTTTACTAATAAAACGATTACGCAATTTTACAAGTCGTGGGATGGAGGGAGGGGAGGGAGAGGTTGGAAATTGTGGAGTGTTGGATAGATAATCTGACAATGATATTACGAATACAATACTTATGTCACAGATGATGAACATCCACTTGCACCGATTGTGATTGTATCTTTGATACACTGATAGAAAGAATTAGTTATTGTTAACGAATGGATTTGATTGCAGACGATTGTCCATTCGGTCTCACCAAATGTTCATTCATTAACATTTAACAAATGCACATTTGCGGAGTCTTGTTCGACTCGTTTTTCACTTTTCAAGTAAACCATTCGCTATTAATGAATACTCATTTGGTCATATTGAACTCTACCAATCGTTAATAGTTTCCGAATCTCGTTTCGAATGAATGAATCAGTCTATCAGTGTATAAACAGCTGAGTTTCACCACCAGTAGGGTTTCTGCATGTAGGGAGCAGCCATGGAGACCTGTCCACCGGCAGCACTGGGATAAGTTGATTCAATTAATTTCGATTGACAAGGTTTGCCATCTCTAACAAGAACAGGAACAGCCACTCTTCTTGGTGAGCAGCCACTGCCACCGGCCTCCACCCGTTCATTCTGGGCGCGTTTCGTCTTGTACCTGTGATTTTGAAACCATATCTTCACCTGGGTAGGCGTAAGACAGATGATGGAAGCCAAGTGTTCCCTCTCTGGAGCGCTGAGGTACCTCTGCTGCCTGAAACGTCTCTCCAACTCGTACGTCTGAGCTTTCGAGAACAGCACCCTGCGCTTTCTCTGCTTCTTGCTGCAGTGAGAGGAGTCGTTTGGGTCGTGCGAACGCTTGTCATCGTTCCTGTCGTCAGACTGATGCTCCTCTATCTCCTCGAAGTCCTGCTCCTCCTCTTTCGATGATTCATTCCCATTGTCTTGGTGCGAGGGGAATGAGAGGTCGGATATTGTCGGACTCGTCGAGTCTGGCTGCTGTTGTTGACTCTGTTGCTGTTGATGTACTGCAAAAATGAAACACGATCTTCATTTTACATTCAATTCACTCATTACAAACTGATTTACTTGAGTGCAAGAAAGGAGAAACTAGTGGTCTACAGAATAACGATTTGGCTCGAGAAAAAATCCCGTAAAATATGGATAAAACTGATGTAGCTGATCTCCACAGAACATAAAGTCCCCCTGAAACTATCCCATGAACTTTATCAGCTACGAAGAAAAGCACCGAGAAAGCAAATGCTCTCGTAACCGGGTTGATCATATAACAACACAATATGCCATTGTATCACTTGATAGATACCAAAAGGGGAGTAAGAATGCAGGGAAGAATTGGAGGGTGTGAATAAGCTCCCCTGAACGCCCGTATTCCGTCTTCGTGGCACCCCACGAGATCAACCATATCATTTTCATGGGAGATTAGACCCCTCGAATGCCCTCCCCACACCCTGTGATTTCAATTAGCCAGTGATACGATTCTCGGTGCGAAAATACAACGATTGTTTTCACAAAGGATTAAACCCCAGATTTCAAATTCAATCTGAATGATGGGTGCATGACATCATCGAGTTCTCCAGCAGCAAAAGGATCAATTTGATTCTAGTTTCTCATTCAAGCTTTTTACCTGATGATTTGGGATGATCGAATGTGCTTTAATTCGTTTGGGAAGGTGAAAAAAAATATGGTGGATGCATGATATAATGGATCTTCGATGTCCAGCCCCTCTATTACATGCCAACTATGAGCGGTGAACTACAACTACACAACACCCTGCTGAAGTAACCACGACAATGTGAATTTTGGGCGTGACAATTTCAATTCATAATGGGAGAGGGGAACAGGGGGAGAATGAAAAGCGTTTCAGTATATACATCTTGTGTATGGTTTGCATCTGTCCCAGGGGTGACATCTGTCTAGTCGATGGCCAATCGTCCAACGAGGATGGTAGAGGGCTTTTATAGGACCATTAGATCCTGCTTAGGCGAGGAGAGAACCAATTGTAGGGTGTTAAATAAATAAGGGTTTCTGAAATGCGGAGGGATGGGGCCAGGGTTTATAACCGTGTTTCGTTTATGGGGCTCAATATCGAGAGTTTATACTCAACGGACAAGCTATAATTCGGATATTCGAGTTGGGAGGGGGATCGGGGAGGTTCGAGAAATGCAAAGTTACGGACGTTTTTGACATGCGAGTCATTCTTGGTGAATACAATGCGGGGTTGACGCAACGATTGCAGTGAGAGTAATAAATTAATGGGGTCGACAGTTTATTTCTATCTAACAGCGAGACGCTGGGATCTATGTTTTTTAATTCAATAGGAGGTGAATATTGGCCATCATTTCAGTGTTTGGTAATTTGTTTGGCATTTTTTGTGATATCTGCCTCAAAAGTACACGTTTTGAAACGGTTTAGTGTGCGGAAAGCGGTTGTTTTCCGGACGGCGTGTGTAAAGTTTCGCGGTACGTACGCTGAGAACAAAAAATATTTTTGCCAAATATTCATTCATTTGAGAGACGAATTTATTCTTTCAAAATCGTGTTTCTCCAATCGAGTCATTTCCAGACGAGTCTGATTAGGTCTCAATTATAACAAACATTGCTCTAGAGGATGACTAGGTCGCACATGAACTTCTCCAATGATTATTCATTTTTCCGGAATTTCTTATTCTCTAGAGAGAAGAATTTCATATTAATTTTTCAATGTTGATAGTTATTGAGGGAGTTCACTCGAGGTCATAACTAACATGATCATCTTCTAGAGCAATATAATTGACATAATTGAAACTTAATGAGGATTGCCTGGAAATGATTCCGCTGGCGGAATACGGTACTGAAAAAATAGATACTTCTCTCAAGTAAACGAATATTTGGAAAAAATGTATTTTTTTCTCCGTGTAAAGCTTCGCTTTACGCACTCGAAATTCACTCTACGCACGCTCTCGAACTTTACGCACTAGTAACACAATATACAATATAATATTTACCGTCGTTAAATTCCATAATTTATTAATAAAAAGTCCGGGGTAAAATAGGACTATCCAGGTATAATGGGAGCGAGTCATCGCCCAATTTCATTTTTGCCACTTTTGTGATCTGAGATTGCGGTATCTATTTAGTATCTGATTGAGAGGAGTTTGATGAGAATTTGATGGAGGACATTCATCTTCAGATAGACTTCAAGGTTTTTCGATTTTACAACATTCCTCAATATCATTATCATTTCACAGGAAGCACAAGGTGAATAATTTGCTTGCCGTTTCATAATTTATTTAAAAAGTGTGGGGTAAAATGGGACTACCCAGGTATGATGCGATCGAGTTACCGTTCAATTTCTTTTGTCATTTTTGTGGCATGAGATTGCGTCGTCTATTTATCACCGAAAATAATCAGCGATTGAGAGGAGTTTGATGAGAATTTGGTGAAGGATTAGTGATTGCGCCTTACCGGTCATTTCGGCGAGTGTTTGCGGCATGGAGACTGGCAGAATGGGACCCGTCGGCCAGCCGAGGAGACCAGGGGGTGGTAGTGTGGGGGGTGGTGGTGGTGGAGGCGGAGGTAGGGTCCCTCGGAGATTGCCGTGGAGAGCTGGCTGCAGCATTGCTGTCGTATGCTCCAGGAGTTGCTGATACGCCGACGGTAGTTCACCGGGGGATGGAAGAGTTGTTGGTGTTCCTGGAGATTTGAAATTGCGGGAGTGAAGTTCTGGTTTTCTTCCGTTGCAGGATTTGTTTGGAAATTTATAATTTCATTCAAATGACTCGAGGGAATTATTTCAGATATTATTTCATGTTTAGGCGTGACCTTTCCTTATTCTAAAGACGTAGAATTTTCGGGAGATCATGAGTAATTACAGAAATAAATCCTTCGCGCGTAATCAAGTGAAATAGACTTCGACTTTCATTTACACTAAACAAATAAGGAATAGTAGAGCGATATGGATAAACTTTTGACTTTTTTAAAATCCTAATAATTCATTGGACGGTTGATAAAACCAGATATTTTTTTATTGTAAAAAAAGTTTCTCCCCTTTGCGATGACTCTATTTCTGAATTATAAAAATAAAAAAAGTCAAAACCGTCCATTTTGTCCCGCCCTTTCCTATACTTGAGACAAATAAACACCCGAAATTTCCACATAAAGCTTCTATTAAAATCCTCGTCTCAAACGAAGTGCTTCGCGAGAATAAATGAAACTTTTCAATATTCCTTATACGGAGAAAAATTTTTGATAAAAATGATCCGACCGTTCTATAAAAGTGTACCATGAGTCATCGTTTCCTCATTTCTATCCCGAAATTTAGTAAAAATTAATATATGACGATCAAATTTTATTCTACATTAGAGAAATTTTATCCTGATAAAAATAAAAATTACGGTGCCGGTAGATTATGCGTCAGGATAAAATTTCTCTAACGTAGAATAAAAATTGATCATCATATATCAATTTCTACTAAATTTCAGGATAGAAATGAGGAAACGATGACTCATGATACACTTCTATAGAACGGTAGGATAATTTGTACAAAAAATTTCTCTCCGTGTACGGATGAAAAATATTTGTATAAAATGGGATTAAACTGACCATTACTATCCTCAAGTGGCGTTGGTTTGGCCTCATTCAGCTCAAGAATATCACTAATATGAAAACCCGAGCTAGTTCTCGAAGCAACTGGCATTTTCATGCTCTCCAGCAGTCTGCAAAATAAACAGAGTTAAAAAGAGATTAATTAAGACTGGTTAGACTCATGAATAGAGAGGATTTGAGTTTGGCAGGGGGGGTATAGTCGGGAAGCCATCGACTCGCGCAAGTGGCTTTTGGAAAACCGATTAAAACCGGTCGAGTTTTCGTTTTCCTTCAGCCACTGGGCGACGGGTGGCAATGGACCACCCGTAGGACAAATCCATTGTCCGGGCAAGAATAAACCTGCCGAGATTGAGGGAAAGCATCCGGAACCTGCAAATCCCGGATGCACTGACGCTTCTTGGGATTGTAAGCTCGGCGATCCATTATCAGGACACGTAGGGCAAAGTATCAAAACATTTGGAGGTTTTGGTTTTCATAAAATGGTGGCTTCTCGGAGATGAGAGTCGGTGACTCGGGATTTGTTACGGGGAATCGTTGATCAGTGCTAATTCTCGTGTCAATAATTCTGTGTTTTTTTTATCATTCACTGGGTTCGGCTCATTTGAACTGGGAAGCGCTTCCGTGGGACAATTTATAGGCATCGAAATCACCGCACATTTTGTTGGAGTTGTTCATTCTCTTGTTTATGTGAGTGGAAATATTTCGGTACAATCGTTCACAGAGGAGAAATCGTTTTGTTTGAGGAGTTTCAGCGGGGATACAAATCGATCTTTGTGACATGTCGATAATTTATAATGTAAAATATTGAGCTGAAATTTTCCCGCCTTTCCAAGATTTTTAAGGTGGAGAAGAGAAGGGATTGTTTTTCAATTGCAAAAATGTCCTTCGTCGAAGGAGCTTAACTCGTTTTTACTGTCCATCGATTGATTAATTCAGCTTAATTAATTAATTTACCTTGCATTCAATAGTTGGCTGTACCACACATGATTAAGTAGATTCGGTGGGTACGTCAACAAGGACCAAGGAAGAATTTTGCCCTTATCCTCCATTTTCCACTAGTTTATTTATTCAGTCACTGTCAATACATAATCCAACAGCCAATGCTCACTAAGTGCTCTCGCCGATTTTCAAAAAACCACAAGATGCACGTTTAACAAATTCACTGGGACTCATTCACTCGATTAAATCCAAACGATCCAGTCCTTCACGTTTTTACCACAAACAAATAAATTGAATCACTTATTTTCAATCCCAAAACAATTTTTTTTGTTTTTCAATTAAAAATCTGATGTGTGGACAGGCTTTGGTGCTCGATGCTTCCACTGAAGGGTTCGCGAAAAATTTATTTGATTGAAATCTCGTGATTGCAACCGTCGCAGTCAGTCTCCCCTGATTGTCTATCTCTTTTTTTTTGCTCACTCACGATAAGTTGAGGACCCGTCTTGTAGTTTTTCGAGTGTCCTCGACGAGCACTTGACGGCTAGTGTGTCCCTACCATCGTCCCGCTTCGGTCTTCGAGCACCCTCAAGTACTCCAGGGAGGCGGGTACCACTCCAAGGGCGGGTTTTTCATTCCCCTACCCTCACCAAGTGAAATCGGTCGCTTGGGAAATTTTTCCACCCCTCGTGTTGGTGTTGCTCGTGTCGGGGCAAATTGCCGCGGTCATTTTACCCAGGGGTGGAGTCACGTGGCTGTGGAGACTGGGCGCGGCTCGAACAGGGGTGGCGATTGCCGACGTACACTGGAGGGGATCTCCACCAATCAGCGGTCACCATCGATCAATGGCTTTTTACCCGGTTCTCCACGACACACTTTATGTCGAGTGTTAATGCGAAAGAGCATTAACGCCGCACTTTCGTACCTTCGACCTCTTTTTTACGGATATACTGGGGAGACGGAGCTTTCGAGCAAGGGGATTATGGGGTTAATTGGAAAATTCTCCGGTTATGAAAAAAGTTTTCACATTTTTGGTTTTAGACGGGGGGATGAGGTTCGTTTATTTATTCTGCTTAATTATTTCTGTTTGACAACATTTTAAAAATCTGAAAGAGTTAGAAAGTTTACTTTTAGGGGAAGATTGATGAAATAATTGAAAAATTGCAATTTTTTCAAATTACCAGCATTTTATATAAATAATTTATGAACAATCATTTGTGCGCCTTAAAAATCATTTGTTCGGAATCGTAACAAATTTATTCATATTCAGAATTTTATCAGTAATCGATTTCATCCCCGAAAAAATACGGTTTCTGAAAGTTTAAACAATTTAAATTATTATCTTTTCATTTTTTACGGAATTTGGTCATCGCCCGGGGGCCTCCAACCAACAATTCCAATTATTTATTTATAAACAATAAAAGTTGAAAAAAAAAAGTCTATGCAAAATGTAATTTGAATGACGCTGGATATTCATAATTTTTTTCAAATTTTTCTCACGCAATTTAATTGACAAATTTGATGATTGAAAATGGTTGAATCTATAGTGTATCCTTAAATGAAATCGCCCGTTACGCGACGTTGCCGGAACCTCGCTAAACGCGCCCGAGCAGTGTAGAGTGAAATCGGCAACGCTGAAGCCTAAATAACACAACGGTCAATCCTTGCACAAGTGACCAAGCCGCAGGGTCGCGTACGGTAACCAGACTAGGGTCAAAGATATTTTCAAAGAACCTAATAAAAAAACCTTGCAAAAAAAAATAATAAAGCTCGATCCACCTGAAAAATACAAGAAAAGATTTTCAACTCGTTTCCACAATTCCCCATTGATTTCCTTCACCAAACACAAGCCCATGAATATTAATACCACCATTAATACCACCGCTATCCTCCTCTTTTTCACACTTCCAGCTGAACAATTTTCTTCATCCCTAATTCACGCTTTGTTACTTTATTCTACGTGAAGTGAACAGGAATTTTTATTGCACCCATTGACAAGTTACGATACTTCTTCAATCGTTTACCCTCAATTTTCATGGCATCAAGAAGGTGAAAAGTTTCCTACCGGCGTTTCCGGTTATCCCGTGGGGCTCCACTTCCATTGTTATTCTCACTCTTCCTCCCCTCTACCATTCTCCTGTATAAAAGTCAAAAAGTGCGGAAGAGGGCGTATAAGGGTCCCATTGTGCTCGACTGGTAGTCATATAGTCGAGGATTCCTTGCTTCCCCCCCGACACAATCTTGACCTCTGCATTTATAAATCCTCGTCGTCCTCCAACGTCACCAAAACGCGTCTTTCGATCTCCCGTTTTTTTTTACGTTTTTTCCCCGCCTCAAACGTTGGAATCGAGTCAGATGTTGGTGAAAAAAATGGGCAGATGCGAATTAAACTAATTTATATCGGGCTGTTAGCTACTTAGTTTCTACTATACTTTTTTATTATTCAGAAAATATTCATTTCCATTTTCTTTCATCATTTCCTTTTTTTTTTAATCTTAAATTTTGATTATTTCAGTCGCTATATTTATTATTATGCGTTTAATTTCAATTTGATTTTCATTACATTTCATTCTGTGAGTTTACTTGTGGAAAAAGTGAGTTTATTTGTGGAAAAAGGTCGTATGAACCTAGTCTAGGGAACATGAAATCTGGACGATTTGGGCTCTCTAAAATTCATTTTAATCCAATTTTTGCAGAAATTTTTTTTTTGCACATACGACCTTTTTCCACAAATATTTCTCCAATAGTGGAAAAATGAAAAAATCATTCCACTGTTTTCTTTTTATTTTTCTGATATCGCGTCGTACTTTTAGAGAAATTTTTATTGGAGAAAAATTTGTGGAAAAAGGTCGTGTGTGTCAAATAAAAAAAATTTCCGTCCTAATCTTCACTTTTCCTCGTCCGGAGATTGGTATTGACCCTTCCCCAAACTCGTAAAACTGAAAATCACAACGGAAAACTATCGTTCACGACTACTGCCATGGGGTTTTTTCACTGGTGTGCACAGAGAAAAATTTTTTAGAAAAATTCTAGTGCTAGCACGGGAAGAGAGGCGCAAAGTGATGGCCAGGAAAAAATTCCAGTGCCGACACTAGCAATTTTATTGGGGAAAACGTGAGTTTTTCCCCGTATTTCCGTGAAAATTTCACAGAAATCCCCGGAAATTTGACTAGAAATACCAAGAAATTCTACCTTAACAGCACTAGAATTTTTTACAGCCGGTAGATTGTGATTTTTTCCAGTACTCGTGCTAGAATTTTCCTAGAAAATTTCTCTCCATGTGGTTGGCCAGTCCGAGCCGAAGGCGAGGACGCCAACTCCACGCGAGAAAAAACCCCATGGCACTCACCCTGAAATATACTATTCCTCAAAAGTTGTATTAAAATGATTCTAGAGAGCCCAAATCGTCCATATGTCATGTTCCCTAAAAATTCTGAAATGGTTAAAACGAAATGATTAATTTTTCCATTTACCACGCGACATCTTCAGGTCAATTTTCATTATAAATTTTCCTCCACGTCGTCTGTATAAAATTGTAAATAAAAAATACTGCCAAATGAAAATCTCAAAGATTGCAATTGCTGGGGGTTGTAGGAGGCACTTTAAACCGTGTCTCCAACCAGTGGCAACAGTACTAGAACCCAAATGGAATACGATAGTGACAAGAAGGAGTCACCAGCACGCAAACTTAGTATCGAGTATCAGAAACTATCGTGTGCTCTTATCCACGAAAAAACACGACATCTAATCGGGTTAGAATCAGGTTCGAGTCATAAAAGAGCCGAAATTTTACTTTTTTCTTCAGTTTGTTCTCAATACTTCTTCTTCTCTTGTTTAACTTCCAGCTTTTTTGGCCCTTCCATCCTTGGCGTCTTGACGCCGATGGAGCGGTGGGTGTGGGCAGGGGGGAGGGAGGGGGTGAAAGCACTGAGGGTGGTACCAATGTTAAACCAAGAAAGAGAGAGAGGAATAAACTAGCAAGGGATTCGCAGCAATCGAGGCAACATTTGTCCAGGTCCCACGACTGTTTGGCGATAGCTGTGCCAACTCGTTTCCAGCACGCAAGCCAATTTGTCTGTGTCTCATTGTTTTAAGACTCGCGATAGGGACATTCAAGTTTTTCGCAGGATTGTGGAGCCAACTCGCGATCTTAACGCGAGGTTTTTCTTTATTT